GATGCTGGATTGAAAGTCAGAGGAGAGAAGAGGCTGGGACATATAAACCCACACATGTGTGTGCACATATGAATACATGCATGTATGTATATGTGAATGCATACACATATGCACATATATAACTATACACATGTCCTCCCCTTGACCTTCAATCTTGCATCACCAAATGCCTATTAGACTTTTCAAACTGTGATGTCCCAAACTCGATGTCCCAGAGATACCTAAAATTCTAGCTGTCCCAAACTGAACTTCTCAGCTTTTCTCCCAAACCCTTTCCTCTCCCCAACTTCCCTGTTTCTGCCAGAGGAACAACCATCCTTGCAATTTCCTAGGTTTGTAACCTCAGCATTATACTGAGTTCTTCACTCTCCCTCACCCCATATCAGTTGCCAAATCTTGTCATTTCTACCTTTAAAACATCTCTTGCATTCAACCACAGCTCTCCATTCAGGCAGTTTCTGCCTTGGTTAAGGTACCTGGAATCTCTCACTGAGGTCATTGCAACAGCTTGCTAATAGGTCTCCCTCTTCAATTGGCTTTCCACTTCTGTCTATACTACACACCATAGCAAAATAACTTTCTTTAAGTACAGTTCTAAACATCTGACCTTTCCACTCAACTATCTCCAAAGGGTTTCAGTGGCATCAAGGATAACACAGAAATTCCTTCATTTACTTTTTAAGGCCCTGTATTATCTGACCTCAAACTGTCTTTCCAGTCTCATTGGATATTACTCTCCATCTCATACTTTGTGATCTGTCAAACTGGCCTTCTCTCTGTCCATTCTACACACCACTCTATCTTCTATGTCCATGTCCCCCTCCAGGCCTGGAATACATTCCCTTCTGCCTCATTGGGTCTTTCAGATGCAGCTCAAGCACCATCTTCTGCATGAAGTCTTTCCCTTGCCCCCCAACTGCTAGTACCTCCCCTCTCAAGGGACCTTGTATTTAACTATTTCTTATGTATTTTATTTGTTCACTTTATTTTGTGCTGTATATATTTTTATATGTACTTTGTGATTTTCCCACTAGTTTGCTCCTAGCAAGTAGGGATTGTGTCATTCTTTGTATCTGATTCCTTAGTGCCAAGCACAATGCTTGGCACATGGTAGCCCCTTAAAATACTCATTGGTTGTTGATTTATTGATAGAGTAATCAATTCAAACTCATGAAGACTTGAGTTCAAATCCTGATTTCAACAGGTGTTAGCTGTGTGACCAAATTTGTCACATAACTGGGGCTTAGACATTTCTTCATCTGTAAAATAGAAGTGTACTTGTAGGACCTATCTCATCAAGTAGTTGTAAAGTTCAGATAAGGTAATGTATGTCAAGTATGATGAAAACTTAAAAGTACTATATAAATGCCTGTTATTATTATTACTACTGCTGTTGTCATTATTGTTTGCATTATTCTCATCTTATACTCTAAAGAGTTTGGGTAGAAGCAGTCCTGGAACAAATAATTTACATGCTATTGTTCCTTCATATTTAGCATTTGGCATACTCTTGCCCAGGTAGATACATGATGGCCTTTTGCCACTGTAAAGGGATTTTGGTACAAGTTTATATTCTGTGGGATTACTGAAAGCATCTTTGGGACCCCTCTTGTAGCAGATAAAGATTATGATAATCATCATTACCATGGGTGGTGCTAATTTGTACATGTCTCATTCGTTCCCTCCCCCTTCTCTAGATTGCAAGCTGCCTAAAGACGTGCACCATTTCTAACTTTGTATCTCTTGTGTCCAGTTCATTGTAGTCTAGTAGATCCTTAATGAATGGATGGATGGATGGATGGATGGATGGATGGATGGATGGATGGATAGATGCATGAATGAATAATGATTAAAAGAATGTTGGGGAAGTGTGGGGGGGGAAGGAGTCAACAAACCAAACAAGTAAACAATGACGGATGCTTTTTGTTTGTTTTATCATCTTTGTTAAATCTGGTGCAATTTCTTAAAGAATATTGTTAATTGTTGGAGGAAAAAAAAACTGTTATTTTTCCTCCAGAGATAGGAAACTTAATGAATAGGATACTGTTGTCTAGAAACTCTGAGTTCGAATATGGACATTTTCTTAGCTTTGTGACCCTGGGCTAATCACTTAACCTCTGTTTGCTTCAGTTTCCTCATCTGTTTGCTTTCAGTTTCCTCATCTGTAAAATGAGGATTATAATAACACCTACCTATTCATGAGAATCAAATGAGATGTCTTACTTCCCTCCTCCTTCCATTCCTCCTTTCTTTCTTT